CTCTCTCTCTCTCTCTCTCTCTCTCTCACACACACACACACACACACACACACACACACACACAATGAATAAATGAATAAATAAATAAATAATAAATAATACAATAATTTTTAAAGAGGAAGCTCCAAAGAATTGAAAAGCCCAAGAATTAAATTAGGGAGCTGGAGAGATGTCTTGGCATTTTAAGAGTACTGGCTGCTCTTCCAGAGGTCCTGAGTTCAATTCCCAGCACCCACATGGTGGCTCACAACCATCTCTAGTGGGATTTGATGCCCTCTTCCAGTATAAAGGTGTACATGCAGATAGAGTATTTGTATATATAAAGTAAATAAATAAATCTTAAAAAAAAAAAAAAGAATTAAATTAGGTGAATTCGCGTGTAAAAGATGACCTGACCTACAGGGCAACATGTTTCAGCAACTAAGCTGATTGCTGTTGGATTCCTGGAGGCAAAGTCTGGACAGAGGTCACTGGGGCATGAAACACAGCAATGCTGACCAAAGGAACAGGACTTTCTCACAGCAGGGTTTCAGAAGACATACTCGTCCTACGAAGCATGACAAGAAACGCTGGGGTATTTGACAACAAATGATATAGAATGGGAGAGAAACTGGAGGGAAATGCCAACACAGAAAACAACGGAGGACTAGAAAGTGCACAAAAAGTAAAGACAATAGGAAGAAAGGCAGGCTCAAGGAGAGAAGTAAGGTGCTATGGTGATTAGGACAAAGCTCCATGTCACAGAGTAGCCGCCACAAGCATAGAGAAAACAAGGACACTCAGCCATCCAGTCAGCTACAGCCATCGTCAACCAGGTCAACCACTTCATAGGAATGAATGGCAGTTGGCCTTCCAGGTCATCGTACTGGATTCTAGAGCTGTGTGAGTGAGCAAAAACAAGGTCCTGGTGGAGTGGAGTCCATATCCTACTGTCTGGGTCAGAGAAACCATCTTGTATTAGTTACTTGTCTGCTGCTATGACAAAACCCCCAACAAGAGCAATTTAAAGAAGAAGGGCTTATTATAGCTCATGGCTGAAGGGAATATGGTCTATTGTGGTGAGTAAGTCATGGTGGTAGAATGTGAGGCAGCTAGCTACATTCCATCCCCAGCCAGGAAGCAGAGAAGAATGAACATCGGTGCTCAGCTAGCTCCCTTTGCATCCAGCTCAAGACCCCAACCCACGGAATGGTGCCACCCACATTCAAAGTGGGTCTTCCCACCTCAATTAACTTAATTTAGAAAATCTGTCACAGACATGACCAGCGATTTGCCTCCAGGGTGATTCTAGACCCTGTCAAGGTGACAATCAATATGAATCGTCAGTCACACAACCTTAGCATGACTGGTTCCACCCTGCTGCTCCTGATTAATGGAGGGCCAGGGACAGCATTCTCTAACTGTGCTCACACTCTCAAAAGCATCACCAGGGACCTGGGAGAAAAGGATCCAAGAAGAAACTGAGTTTGGGGAGAGAAGTTTCGGGAGTTCAAAGAAGACTGGGTCTGTGTGGTCAGGTCTAGGCAAGGAAGGAGGTGGTGGAATGAGGAACGTTGTTGAAAACTGGGTCGTAGTAACTTTTCCAAGCCCACTCCAGGCACTCTTCCTAAGACAGGAAAGTGAAGTGAGGAAAGAGAGCTGAGGAGTGGCTAACAGTCAAAGAAGAACTCATCCTCTTGCCATGCTTTCTCACCCACTGGGAAGTTGCTAGCAGAAGTACTATTCTGTATCCTCCCCTGAGCACAGCCCATCAGCATCTGCTCAGAGAGAGTCACATGCATCCCCTCTAAAGCAAGAACAATGCCCTATCTAAGAAAGGAGATCCAGCCACCGGCCTCGAGGGAAATCAGCAGATTGAGAGTGGGCAAGTAAGTACTAGGCTTAGACGCATCCCAGTACAGTCCCACACTTAATGAAATAAACCAAATGGTGCTGTTTATGGAAAGGTCTTTAGCCTGGAAGTATCTCCCATTCACCGTTTGAACAGCCAACGTCCAGAGATGTTCTTGGATTAAAAAGAAAATGTTTGTAAAGAATTGAGGCTGGAGATTGTCTTACGTCCAAATCTTAATATGTTGATTTTTTTTTTAACTAAATCCCTTTCTTGCCTTATATCTCAGCTACAGGAAAAAAACCAATGGGATGTTTTGAGTGGTGGGTGTAGACACAAGAACTGCACCTCCTGCTGACAGTGTGGACACAGCATGGAGACCCCAGGAAGGGAGCATAGGAACCTAGCCATGGGTCATCTGGACCCAAGGTTAAGGAAGCGGGGTCAGGGAGAATACAGAGGCTCAGAAACCGAGGAGTGAAAGAGAAGAGTGAGAATTATTAGTGCAAACCTGGACTCTAAGCAGAAATAGCATCCTGGAGGGAACCAGGGCTCTCAAATCACTTTAATAGCTTCACGTTCAGAGGGCATATGGGCTGCGTGGTTGCTGCTGTTAGCTAAAAATTCTTCAAATAAGGAAAATTCTTGCCCCTGTCTCGCTGATTTGTTTGTAGCGAAGTCTCCAGATAAGGTGGGTTTTGCTATGCCCAGCTCATCTCTGCTTGCCATCAGTCATTAAGCCCAGGAAAAGGCAGAGGTTTGTAAAATGGGTTGCCTTAATCACATTACTGTCACCATGAGAGAGAAATATTGAACAATAGATACACATTGGAATGCAAAATGAATTTTTCCCTAGAATTGACCGTATTTGCACAAAGCCAGGCGTCTGTTAACATAGACCACTTTCTCTGCTCCCAGACAAAGTTTGAAAAGTTTGATTCTAATACAGCCTTCCCTGACTACTTATCTCACTGTTCATGTATACTGGTCTCTTTCCAAGAAACATGTTAGTCTAGGAGATTCGGAGAGTCCACGAAATTAAACTTCCTAATATCAAGTCTTAGCCCTGCCAGAGACTACCTGAATGCCCCTGGCTGAGTTACTCAGCCTCATTAAATGGCAGTTTCTTTCTTGGCAAAATAGAAATATTGATATTAAGTATGTATGCGGGCACCTGTTTATAGGCATGTACCTATGTGTGCGTAGATGCATATGCATGTGCATATGCTTGCATGTGTACGTGCATGAGTGTAAAGGTCAGAAGGGAACTTTGGGTCTTGTTTCTAAGGCACTATCCACTTTGTGTGTGGAGGAGGGGGAAACAAGGTCTCTCACTGGCCTAGAACTCACTAAGGAGGCTAGGCTGGTTGACCAGAAAGCCTCAAGGATCCACCTGTCTCCACCTCCTCAGTGCTGGGATGAGCATGTGCCACCACAGCTGTATTTTTTAACACGAGTTCTAGGCACCAAAGTCAGGTCCTCCTGCTTGCAAGGCAAATATCTTACCGACTGAGCCATCTCCTCAGCCCAGAAGTCATGTAACTCACAATATTACTAATAATAGTTCAATTCTTTGCAAAAAGTTAAGTGCACTGCCTGACTCAAGACAGATAATTGGTGACTCTAAATTTTGTTTTAACAACTAGACAGACTGAAAACTTGGAACCTGAAGAATAAAACTTCCCCAGCTGTATGGTTTTCCAAATAAACACCTGTCACCCTGTGTGTGTCTGTGATTTCTTTGAGACATGTTGAACTTGACAAAATTTGTGCTTTGGTGATAAATGTTTCCATCATCCGCTGCACCATTCTGTCTGTTTTGACTTCTATGGAATGTGAGTTTTGTCTCTGACTGAGCTCAGGAGACTGTTGGCTGGAGCAATCTGTAAGAGCATCCAGCATGCGGGCCATGTGTCCTGATTCTGATGGCTCTGCAGCTCGGAGAGAAAGAGAAACCGAGAAAATCAAGACCATAGTCTTCCCAGCACGGATAGAGAAGGTGACCCATGAAATCCCACTCTCAGCTGAGGGTCCTTCACCACCTGATGGCTGCTAGAGGAGGCAGAGGATCGGTTTTCTTCAGGAATGCATCCCCAGATGGGCTGCCGCTGCTCCAAAGCACATTCAGAACAGAGTGGGCTCAGTGAGGCAGAGGAAGAGTACATGAAGTTGGAAGGGGAAAGAGGTGAGGGTAAGGGAGAAATCAGAGGGGAGGATGTCTGGGTGGATCTGACCCAAACACATTAGATGCATGTGTGGACTTCTCAAACAATAAATTAAAACAATACTACTAAAGACCATAGGCTGAAAGACAGGAAAAAGATTGTGTGGGTCCATGAGGGAAACTCTCACTCAACCTCCCACTTTCTTCAAAAACGGAAGCCCACGGGTGCCAAAAAGACTTCCCAAAGCCACTCGCCTGAGTGGACATGAAACTATTACAAGTAGCGAGGAAGGAAAGGAGAGCAATTCAAGAGTGAAAAGGGGGGAGGGGAAGACCATGAAGCTCTTCTTACAAACCCTCTGAAAGGAGTAAGAGGGACCTTTGGGGGTACATAAAATCAGACGATGCCTTTTCGAGGAGCTAGTAAATGTCTAGGAAGGAAAAATAAGGAGTGCTGGGCTGGGCAGTCTAGAACCTTCTGCTCACAGAGGATATGACTGGGTAATGACATTTTTCTTCTCTCTATGTAACAGCTCTGGCTCTCCTGGATCTCACTCTGTAGACCACGCTGGCCTCGAACTCACAGAGATCCTGCCTCTGTCTCCTAAGTGCTGGGATTAAAGGCGTGTGCCACCACTGCCCGGCTGGGGTAATCGAATTTTAATGTGGATGTGGGTTTGAATGTTTCCCTGTCTTATTTTATAACTCAGGCAAAACCATGTGTCTAGACTTTACCAAAAATGGGTTGCTGCACTCTCTAAGGCTTGAGGAGGCTGAAAGATGATTCTCTATTACTGAGAGAGGGAGCTGGTACAAGCCTATCTGTCTGAAAAAGTCTTTGAAATCATAACAAAGAGGTTACCAGCAAATGTGAGGCACTTGCTAGCATCTGGAAGCTTTTGAAACTCTTTACAGATATAAAAAGATGCGTGTTGGTTTGTAGTTTCAGCTGATTGGCCTCTTGACTGGCCAATCACACATGTAATCCTTTGTGTTCTCTTTCAGGCTCCTTCTTCCCGGATTTCAAGCCCTCAGAAACCGTTTTCAAAATCGTATTTTGGCTTGGGTACCTAAACAGCTGCATCAATCCCATCATATACCCATGCTCCAGTCAGGAGTTCAAGAAAGCCTTTCAGAATGTGCTGAGAATCCAGTGTCTGCGCAGAAGGCAATCCTCTAAGCACGCCCTGGGCTACACCCTGCACGCACCCAGCCAGGCCCTGGAAGGGCAGCACAGAGACATGGTGCGTATCCCCGTGGGCTCAGGAGAGACTTTCTATAAAATCTCCAAGACAGATGGAGTCTGTGAGTGGAAGTTTTTCTCTTCTACGCCCCATGGATCGGCCAGGATTACAATGCCGAAGGACCAATCTGCCTGTACCACAGCCCGGGTGAGGAGTAAAAGCTTTTTGCAGGTCTGCTGCTGTGTGGGGTCCTCGACCCCCAGCCTTGAAGAAAATCACCAAGTTCCGACCATTAAGATCCACACCATCTCCCTCGGTGAAAATGGGGAGGAAGTCTAGAGGATGGGAAAGGTCACGGGAAGAGGGGTAACTCTAGGTACTGCTGATTGCCACTCGGAAGGCCAGTGAGTTCTTGAAGGACAAGCCAGGACCATTCAAGGAGGTCCCCATCTGGGAAAGGGGAGAGGGAGGGTACCAGCTCACGGGACAAGTGGGTAGGGCACAGGGGAAGGGGAAGGGTGTCTGGTAACTAATAGGTTCTGAATGATGCAAGGGCCATTTCCCTTCAGCTCAAGTCCTCAGTCATTCTCTGATCCTGCTTTCCACAACTGACCCTTTCAACAAGAAATACCATGGGAAAGAAAATTTCATACACAATCCAAAAGACTATAAATACAGGATGATGATTTCATTGTGAATATTTTGAGCACACTAAGTTTGGAGCTATTTCTTGATGGAAGGGAGAGAATTTTATTTTCAGGCTGAACCTACTGGCAACTACATTTGACATTTATGGAGCAGGGACCCAGAGAGGAAGGAGTGTAAGGTAGTAGCCAACATGCTTTTAGGGCAAGTTTGGAAACGCCACCAGATTCTCAGCTTGGTGAACCTGGACAGAGGGCTTCCCAGGGGTTGCTTTTTGATGGGTTCCTTATCCCCATTTGAAAGTGGGGTGCATTGTCCAACCTTGGATCTAAGGAGCAGAACTTACCAGGGACAGCATGTTTTCCTCAAGAGAAGGCATGCCTGGGACAGCAGTTGCATGACCTGGTGGAGGAAGGCCTTCTACTTGTATCTTCTTAAAGAGCAAGACGCTGGCATGGGATGGGTACTGACACCAGGCTAATGCCCTGTGGTCATGCAGCCTCTCTGATGTGACAAACCACTTCCGTTTCCTGAACTCCATCATGGAAGTCCAGGACTGGCAGAATACTGCTTCCATTACCGGCCCTCATTTCATTGCTGTGTAGTGAATGGGATTCAGCTGTGGCATGTAGAGTGAGTTGTGGGGTCCAGGTACACCCCTCCTGAGCTTCCCAACATACTGATGCTTACCCTCAAATATTTTAATTGATTGCAAAACAGCTGCCCAAATTGATTCCTAGTTTTTGCAAAACCTTGGGGAATGTGCTTTTTTTTTTTTTGCTTTATGTGTACCAAATCCTTGCATCCTTAATAATTCATGATATTATGAATAGTGACTATGGTAATCACACATAAAAATTAAAACATGCCTGCCATTCCACCTTAAGAATTGTAAAATAAGGTTTAATGTTTGTGGGAACAACCCTCCTAAGAATTACAACCAACATCTTTTGTAACTTCTTCCCCTAAGAGCTTCAGAGCAGGCTGATGCTATTGTGAAACCTTCACAGAGAGGCTGCTGGCCCTCACATCTTTCCTTTCCTCCCTTACATCAAATTGAACTCTGCCCCTAAGTCTTTCTAAAGGCAAATCTTTATCCACATTGCAATGAAGAAAATGTGTGCATGCGGCTGTGGGTTTTGTGATTGGTTGTCTTAGGACCTTGAATCTGACCCACTTCCTCCCTACCTTTTCCTGAGCTGTGTCTACTTGTTGGCCAGCAAGGTAGTTACTTGGCCTTGTGTTCTAAACTTGGCTTCTGCCGCTGAGAAGTTGGCTGGGATTTTAGGCTCTCTTGGGCTCTCGGCAAAACTCCTAACAGCTCTTCCAGATGTGGGTGTCAAAGCATCTAGGGAGAACTTCAGAATGCAAGCCTGCATCTTCTCTATATAAGCTTCATTGTTCCAATCAACTTCATTCCAGATTTGAATTCTAAAACCCGTCCTTGTTCTTAGCATGCCTCCATAGAAGAACATCATTACAGGAAGAAGGATCATAGCTTTTCTTCAGCAGGGTACCATCCCGTGTTACCGATGATCTTTAAATCCTTAGTGAATATGTGTAAATGTTAAAAGTGGGAAAACTGCCGGGCGTTGGTGGCGCACGCCTTTAATCCCAGCACTCGGGAGGCGGAGGCAGGCGGATCTCTGTGAGTTCTAGGCCAGCCTGGGCTACCAAGTGAGCTCCAGGAAAGGCGCAAAGCTACACAGAGAAACCCTGTCTCGAAAAACCAAAAAAAAAAAAAAAAAAAAAAAAGTGGGAAAACTTAGGCACATTATAAAGGTACCATTGGTGCCAGTTCTAATCAGGAAGAAAAAAAAAAACAACTCCAAAATCTTCCCGTCCTCACATAAAAACCATGACAATCGTATTGGTGCAGAATTGCCCATAAACAACTGCCCGCACACTCACTCCGAGGCCATCCCCCCCTCTAAGGAGGCCAGTATCTAATAGGTTTTTTTTTTCCCATTCCCATAGCAGGGCACTGAATAAAAACACAGCTAATTTATAAGAAATTGATAATGCCACCAAAACATGGTGTCAAAAGCAGTGTCAACAACGTAAAAGTGGAATTGCTTTTTAATCACCCGCCAAAGGAAAAAAAAAGTCTGTACCTTTAAGTGTGCCAAAAACTATCTAAAATGGTTGCAGCCAAACAAATGATTGTCATATTTATATTCATGTGTTTACTGCTTCTATTTGGAGTTTGAGGAATTTACCCAGAGTAACCCCAGTTAAAATGTCCTCTCTTGTGTGTTCTAAAAAAAAAATCGCTTTGGGGATGGTCTTTGTGACATGAAATCAATGGGGCATTATGGTAGGCAACTTTGAGACTAGTGTGAGATTCAGACCCTGTGTATGAAGAGGGACCTTGGATCTCTTTACTCAAAAATTTCTCCAGGGCATCAGAGATGTCGTAGATCAGTGGGTGGAATGTTTGCCTGACATACACACCCCGGCATCACCTAAACCCGAGAGTGGCAGCTCATGGCTGTCAGCTCAGCATTCAGGATGTGCAAACAGGAGGACCAAGAGTTCAAGGTCAACCATGAATACTTAGTAAGTTTAAGCAAGCCTAGACTACTTGAGACTCTGTCTCAAAAAAAAAAAAAAAAAGAAAAGAAAAAAGAAAAAGAAAAAAATTCCAGGCTATACCACTGCAAGAAAAGTGCTTCCCCTTGTCATAGTTTCATCCAAGACTGCTTCTGCATGGCATCACTCTGCATGCGACACACTTTGCAAGGCACTGAGGCTCCTGACTCTCATCACTGACTTGGATTGCTCCATTTAAGATAGACAGTGATAGACAGCTGAGTTATAGGCACTTTCTTATGGCGCTTCTGTTAGCTCTATTGCATGTCATGGATCAGTGGCTGTGATCCTCTAGAAATTCTCCCATTACCATTTCTAAAATGAAACTCTGATGGATGAGAAAGGCTAAGGACTTGCCCATGGGCAAGAAGGAACTGTGACTCAAAACTGAGTTTCCCCCTAGGTATTCATGTTCTGTGTGATACCTCTGTTTCACACACTGGGACAGGGGAGTTTGAACTGAATATTCTCAGGAGACCATTTCACACCCAAACTGTAATGTAATTTATTCCCTTGGGGTTTTCCTACATATTAATCTTAGCAAACACACCACCAAACCTTGTGTCTACAATTCCAACTACTAGAGAGCATTCCCCTCTCCAGGACATAGTACTCCCAGATATGACTAAAGCCTTGCATAGAGGATAGGTTGTACTAAACCAGGACAAGATGAGCATATAACAGAACATGGAAGAATTGGTCAAGAATGAAAAAGCCCAGTGATAGATGGGAAACTTCCTAGGTGGTGTGTGGAAGTCATGAATGGCCAACCATGGTTAACATGAACACTTGAGAGGCATGCCTCTTCAAAAATATATATCAACAGATAAAGCACTTGTTCTTGTTCCCCTCAATTCCAACCTTTATTTTACAAGTTATCAAAAAAGCCCATACTAGGCACATGATTTTCCTGGATGCCACTCAGAATGCTGGTCTCCGGGTAGACAGAGACCATGGCAGTTTTGGAAGACAGGCCATTGGCAGACAGCTGTGCATCCTAGCTAGCTTCCTTTCTATATGAACCATCATTAAGCCCTTTCAGCCCAGTGTGTTTGGGGGTGAAACTATTTTAGGAACCATTTTCTTGAGCAGGTAATTATTCATGTGTTAATCACAATTCCTTAATCACCGCTAACAAACATTCCTAATTGCTTCTGGGGATATCTCTGTCCCCATCCTCTTGCCAAAATATGATGCTGCCTCTCCAGTGGATGCTTGCTGACTTCATTAAGGGAAAAGATTGGCTCGTCAGCAAAGGGAAAAGCAAACAGGTGGAAGGCAGGTAGATGAAAGGCACACGAAAACCAGGGCATCGAGAGAAGACAGAGGGAGCAGATGTACAGGCATCAGAGATGCTCACTGGTCACTCTGGTCTCTTTTTTACACTACCAGGACTTTTAACCGTGAAACCACCTGTATATGCACAGCTCCGAAAGAGCCCAGTTGGATCACTGCACCTGCCCTGGGCCTCCAAACTATGCTGAGGAGCTGGGCTGAGGCCACGTCTTCCAAAAGCCATGGCAACCGTGGCCCCTGGCCCTCCAAGTCCCCTGCAAGATGAATGAGTGGACATGACCGTTGTGGGGGCTGGGCCAGGAGGCGAGTTAGGATTTCAGCATGTGAAGCCGGCCCCTGGCCAAAGGTGCCATTCACTGACAGGATCTCATTCATGTTTCCCAGACCCTATGGCTGAGAGTGAGCTGAGAAAGAGCCTTCCCTGCTCTCTGCAGAATGTCATGTTTCAAATGGCCACTATTGAACCTACAAAGGCTGTAGGGGTGGCAGGGAGCATTGAGGGAGGAGATTGACCATAGCCTCGGCTCACAGCTGGGAGGGTTAGTCATGCTTTGCCACAGCTGATGAGAAAGGAACTGTCCTGAAGCTGGTGGCTTGTTCAGGAAAAGGCAAAATCATGACCTTTTCTTCCATTTGGCTTGGGAGTTATTGCCACGCTGTCCCTATAGCACACCCGGAGCAGTCTCATTATAAGCGAGGGTTGATGGTTGTTGAGCCACGAAAAATACAGACTTAATTAGGTGGGGAAAAAAATCTTAGCACAACTTAGCACTGCACTTAGAGAAAAAAATATAATGAACATCCTGGTCTATGAAATAGGCTGAATAAAAGAAGTGTATTGGAATGTCATAGAGAAGGAGCTAAAACAGAAATTCCAACATGAATTTCATGTTTATATATATATATATATATATATATATATATATGGATTTGTGTATCACCACATACTTACCAAACCTTTCTCAGGTCATCTTTGTGTGGAATAAGGAAAAGCTTTTATCTACATTTGGCATGTGAAGAAATAGAAGCCATGAGTTAAGAACTTCTTTGAATACCCTCATATCCAACCTTCTCCACGATGCTTCCATGTCCCCAGGGTCCGCCATGTATTTCGACTCTCTAATTTTCGTAGTCCAGTACTTCAGTTCCAGCGCGTAACTCCATCTCTGTCCACACTTCTGCCCTCCTGTCCTGGCCAACAATTGGGAAGAACTTGCAGCACAAGGCCACAATTCTTGTTTCCTTGGCTAGCAGACAGGCACGTGTCATTCTGTTCTTTCTCCAGACAAGCTGCTACAGACCCAGGGAACTAGCCAGGGACAGAAAGCTGCTGCTCTGCCCAAAGGGGCGACATGTAAGGCAAAGCCAGCTGTGACTGTCACCCTAAGGTCCTCAGGAACAGAAAGGTCCCAAAGGGAACCTGTGGGTCACTGGGCACACTCTGACCAGCAATCCCAGACGGCCTCTCTTCACTGTACCAGCCCGGCATGAAACCAAAGGGAGGAAGAGACAGTCCCCAGTGTACGAGCCAGCAGGATTCTGAGTTGAGGTGTCCAGAAATCAAGTGTGTGTTTTTCCAAGAGGCATTGTTATAAATGGGGAGGTGTTCCTAGAGGAACCAAAAATAAATAAATAAATGTCTGTTTAATGTATACCAGGAGTTGGCAAACTTTTTCTGTAAATGGCTAGATGGTTAACATTTCAGTCATGATGGACTATAAGTTCTCTTTTTGGGCTCTTTGGTGGGAGGCTATGGGCAGACCTTCAAAAATGTGGATCCATTCGTAGCCCAAAAGACAGCAAGGTGTGGACCAGGTTTAGCCCATGAGCCCAATTTTCCATCCATGCTCCAACCTACCACTAGATTGTGGTATAGAGCCAATACTACTGAACTGTGGCTGTAGGTGATCAGCATGCTTATAAAAAATAGGTCACTGATGTATCTCTCCTGGACTGAGTCAACGTTCACAGACTGCATAAAGGGGTAAGTCACATCTTCATCATTTCCAGGCAGGTGGTAGGAGCAGAGGGAGGCACATGCCACTCCCCCATTGTGCCCTATGGGCAGCCAGGTCAGCAGAAGCCAGTGACTCCAGGGGTCTTCCAGGCTAAGAAGACAATTTCCCCTATGACATCTGTCCAACTCAGAGCAGCCACTTGCCCAAGGCTGTCCTGAAATTTCTCCCAGAACTCATCAAAGTGGAGATCCCCAGAAAGCTTTGGGGCTCCTTGAAGAGGCTCTCTGACCGCAGTGCCCTCTGTTAGGACATTTGGAACCTACTGGAACTCATTAGGAAAAGTGACAGGACACAGAGAGCATCTTCCAGAAGATAAATGGGAATAGAATTGTCTCTCACGCCTCCCTCCTCCTGTGCCTCCCTTTCTTTCTTATTTCTTCTCTTCCTCTTAAATTGAACTCACTAATGGAATAGAAATGGCTCCCCTATAAGAAAATTTGCTTAGCACTCCCTGAGAAGTGCAAAGCCGTGTTTCCCTGAGCTAGCGCTTCCATGGAGAACCCCCTTCCTTCCCTCTCTAGTCCTGAAGGGTCAGTGAGGAGCAGGGTGTTTCCAGATGCAAATCAGGCTCAGATCACATGACTCAGTGCAGCATCTGAGTATTGAGGAAGGAGGCTCAGTGACCAGGCTGTGGGTAGGACAGTGGAGGCAGACACAGTTTGGAAAGACCCGGAACTATTGGCACCATCCAGTGAAAGCCCCACAGCCAAACTGAGAGTGGAAAGGGAGGCGTAGGTGGGTGCTGAACGCCAGCTTCCCTTCCACACCCCTTCTCCTACCCCTTGCTGTGTCTACACCCTTTACCCTTTCTCGGCCCCTTTGCTGATTCCACCCTGCCCCCACAAATCAGCCCTGCACCCCTGCCAGGTTTACAGACAATGAAAGGTGTTTCATTAGGGCCCCTGTCTGTGGGATCTGTGCTCCGTTCTCTGGTAAAAGGACAAGTTCCCAAAGCAATCACAGTACCTTTGGCCATGAGCCTGGGCCAGGAAATGAGGCCAGCAAGGGGAGAGCATCCTCGGGGCCCTGGTCCTTCCGGGACCTTGATGCTCACCTTGGATTTCTGCCTTTCTGTTCTTGGGCCATCCACCCCATGTGAAGGGCACAAGCACACTGTGCAGCCGCATTTCAGAGGAGCTGCGGCTTGGAATGGTTTCTGGAGGACTTCTAATCAACCTCTCGTACTTTGGGCATCTTTCCCATGCGCTCGAAGTCAACTTTTATTCTCCATCATCGCCTTTTGCCTCTTGCTTTTGTTCTCTCTTGCTTGTGAACTTTTCCTCCTAGGAGTTCTCTAGGGCCTTCAAGGTCTTGATGAACCCATCAAGTCAACTCAGTTCCCCTTTCACACTGAGCAATGACTGATCCATCAGGAGGCATACCCTCAGCTGGGCCGTCCACAGGGATGCTGTTCCTTCCACGGCTCTGTTCCTTGTTCCTCCTACACACACATGCCATGCTATGTGCTCCTGAAACTTAGGATTCCCCTTCTCATTACCCTGCCCTTGACACATCGGCCCTGAAGAGTCTTCTCCCATGTGAGTGCTCCAGTTTTTGCTGCCACCTTCAGCATCAATAGCCCCATGTTCATTTCCTGCTTCCATTTTTGCCCAATAATGCAGGCTTGTGTGGCTTCAATGACATCCACTAGTGTCCTTACGGTCCTGGATGCTAGAAATCCCAAATCAAGGTGTTAGCTGGCAGTCTCATCTTCAGCCAATGTTGACTTCCCCCTGAATTCTCATGTGGTCTTCTACTTCTTACAAGAACACTAGTCACATTGCAGGATCTGTCCCCGTGATCTCACTGCACCTTAATTACCTTCAAAGGCTACTTCCAATCATAGTCACATTGTGAGGAAATGTGAGATTGAATTGAAATAGGAATTTAGGAGGCATTCAATTCCACTCATATGATTCCATACGCTCTCTCCTTTCTTCCCATACCAAAAAAAATCTATAATCCTTTACCTAGACAGGAAGTTCAAGTTCAGTCCTTTCTGTTTATTCTTCCCCCAAATTTTTATGCCAATTGTCTGTAAAATGTATTTAGCAACTAATTATGCACTTACTTGGATCTCCCGGATGCTTCTTAAAACCTTAGCACTTAAAGTATTTTGAAAGGTGAATCATATACATTGACCTTACATGGGTTCTGACTTCTCAACCAGATGGTAGTTCTGAAGGGCAGGGACAGTTGTGTCACTCAGTACACACACACACACACATACACACACACACACACACACACACACACACACACACACACACACACACAGCAACACTCTATCCCCAAGGGAGGAAAGCCCCTCAACCCCCAGCCAGGCAAGGAGGAGGAGAAGGGGTGGCTGGGAGGACAAACCAACAAGAACTTGAAAGCCTAGAGTAAGAGTTGGAGACCTGGAGTTTCTAAAAATTTAGTAACTTTAATTATGCACCAACTGTAGAGATTCCCAAGCTAGCATATGTCTTGGGTCAGGTGGGCATTTGCTCTCCCCCAGAAACATCAGTACCCAGGAAAGCAGAGCCCCAGCACTGAGTGGGACAGACCCTCGACTACACAGCTGGAGTGAGGCAGAAGAAGGTGGGATTAAAGACCAATGGCTTAATTCCAGCACTTGGGAGGCAGAGCCAGGCAGATCTCTGTGAGTTCGAGGCCAGCCTGGTCTACAGAGCAAGATACAGGATAGGCACCAAAGCTACACAGAAAAACCCTGTCTCAAAAAACCAAATAAAAATAAAAATAAAAAATAAAAATAAAGACCAGTGGCAACCTTGGTCCTGAGAACTGGGTCACTAGGGCCTCTTGGGAACACTGTGATGAGGTCCCATCTACTGAAATAAACTGACCGAAGGCCACGATGTCCACCCCTGGTGAAAGAATTTCAATTAAGACCTCTGAGGATGACTTCCTTTCATGACCACCAGAGCCTCTCATAGTGATGTGCTTTCCCCTCTACAGGGCCGCTGAGTAGCTCGCCCTGTCTAGATCACTTCTCCTATGAAGTTCAGTTCTGTTTCATAACCCACCCCAGCAGTACACAGATTGGCTGCTCCCACGGTATCACTGTGGTGACAAGCAGAGCAATGTATTCTCCTCTGCCCAGGTTCCTGACAAGAAGTAGAGAATCCACCCTCATTTGGAAGCCTCAGGTGCCCCACGGTATGGCATCTCTCCCACCATGCTTTCCTCACACTGAAGCATGCTGCTCTGGTTTCCTACCCTGGCCCCTACCCCAGAACCTTTCAGGTGGAAAAAGTCTCTGGTCCAGCATTCGCCATCCCAGTGCGGAGGCCTTGGCTAGAGCATCGTGGCCTCCTTAGCATTAGTCTAATCCAGAAAGGAGGAAGAAGACAGCCTCTTGAGAAATCAAAGCCTACGGAAGCGTTCAGAGCCAAAAGCCACTCCAAAACAGGTCTGAATGTATGTGGCTCTGTCTTGATGATGGGTCCACTAAAAGTGTCTGTCCTTTGTCTCCCTCCTCACTGATCAAAATCTGAGCAATGGATAGCGAGGTCTCCTTGCCCTTTAGTGCCTCCCCTTCCCTGTCCCTGTGTCATAGCAGAAGTGACAGCAGTTGTAAAAAGCAGAGGCATAGAGGACAGTGACGGATGGTAGTCAGTGAGAAGCTTTCATCTACAAAAGAGGTGCTCGAATTCAAGCTGACAAATGAGGAGGCTGTTAAAAAGTCCACCAGCAGGTACTTGTAAGAGAAAAACACGCAGGTACTCCAATACTTGCATAACAATTTGCCTGTTTTCCACAACCTTGTTTGTGTTTCTTTAAGAGTAAGACACTTACTGGAGACTAATTGAATTAAAAGGTAAAGTCCCTGGCTTGCTCTCACCTCCGTTTCTGGCAGCCAGCCTGGCTCCTGCCTTCCTATGCTGAGTATTGCAAGCCTCGTCCCTAACTTTGCGTGAGAGCAGGCCGTCCGCTACAGCCATGCTGTCTCAGCTTCGAATGCCCAAATCACAATGCATGCTTTCTTCATCAGATGTGAAGGAAAGCAAGTTTTTATTCCATGGCCCTCATCAGTTACAAACAAAAAACACCCTTCCAGTTACTGCAATGGCAACTTAACCCAAGACTGCAGACACTCTGATTATTTTACTTCTTCCTGGGACTCTGATAGATGGTGCAGAAGCAAGGCTTGAGTCATAAGAAGTGGATTTTTAGGTCTATGGAGAGAGCTTAGCCAGAAGGAAGGAAGGAAGGAAGGAAGGAAGGGAGGGAGGGAGGGAGGGAGGGAGGAATGGCAGTGCCTCCTTGTGATGGGGAGCACTGGAGAGCACACAGGTGCACCCCTGGAGCTTGATGGCTGGCCAGCCCAGTCAACTGGTCCAGTCAAAGTCAGTGAGGTCCAGGTCAAAGTGAGAAGCTGTACTAAAAGACAAGGTGGTCAGCTCCTCAGGGACAATTCCTGAGATTGTCCTCTTGCCTATATGCACACACACACACACACACACACACACACACACACACCAATCCCACAAACTTCAAATATTTTTGTGTACAACTGTGTTTTTAGCTGCTCCATTGTACGCCCTTTAACACAGTTTGAAATGAATGAGGACAAGATTTTATAATCATATTGTAGATGAAAGATTTTCACACAGAGAGGGGGCACAAAGATTTGGGCATCAAAGTAGAGAGAGGGGAAGGTCCCACAGGGAGTTTGGGAACTAGGAGCCCGAGACGTGAACCCTTCTTCTAAAATGTTCTAGTGTGAACCTGAACCAGACTCAGCTTGCTGAACTGTGACCTGCTCAGCTCCACCCAGACCAAATCACCAGAGGGAAGCTGGAGGGATGTTGAGACTGGTATGACAAGAGCCGAAGACAGGGCATCACAGTCCTGTGCTTCAGTGCACCCCCATCTCACAGCAGCTCTGCACAGGCCCCTGGACCCCTCTGGCCCCGTGTCTTCATCTGTGAAAGGGGGAGCAGGTGAGATGTGAGTGCAGAAAGATGCCTCAGGAGATGATAAAACCACTTCCATCACAGTGGGCTCCACTACATACATGCCCGCATGCTCCCTAGCTCTCTTCCCCCTCCCAGCTGTTACCTACATGGGACCAGTATTCTAGAGGACCTTTAAGCCATCTGCAAGGCCCGAACACTCTACATACAACAATTGAGAGAGTTTTCCTTTATCCTGCCTCGGGCTTACCTGCAGAATTCGCTAGCATTCCCGGGTGACACTCATTTCTGTATAATTATAAAGGAAATCAGAAACAAGCTGTGCCATGCTGGAGGCTGCCATTCTGAAACTCGGATGTGGGCTTCCAGTTATCGGCACCCTCTCCACCATGCTATTTTCTTTGGATTAGAGAGACCTTTACCTGGAAATCCCCCTTTAATATTTTTTAAGTTAAGCTCCCTGAGCGGCTTGGAGGATTTCCACGAGGCTCTCGGGACTGTCCAGGCAAGGATGGTGCTGTGCACTTTTCCCGCTACCAACGTGGTGCTGGGGAGTGTTTCATATTATCTCAGCTGCCTTGTGCAAGTCACTACACACCAGGTGCATGCGTGTTCATAAAACTGACGCCGTGAGAATGGAAAGTCGTTCTGACTGCAGTACGAGAGACGGGATTCGACACACAGCTTAGGTTTAAATTTGTCTCTAAGGGTACAGGGCTGAGTAGTACCTGGCAACTGCCAGAAGTAAATGTTTGCAGGATGAGCAGCCATTCACAATCGCTAACAGGGGCAGTTGGAGTTGGAGTGAAATTGAGTACCTATCACATGAGCTGTAGATCACAACCTATTGTCCTCCGATATTACCATGGGCCCTTGAAAGGACCTCTGGGATCCTCTGGACAGGTGAGTTGACGAGCAGGTCCACACCCCAAGTTCAGCGGGGCATGATTGGACATGAGCACATTCAGAGGCCATCTCTGGCAGAGGCCGGCCACCGTCTCCTGCCAACAACCTCTCCTGACTCAAAATCTCAAATGTGCTCTAAGCAGAGGGGAAAAGTCAGTTTCCGAGCTTAGGTTCTTGGTCCAGCTATGCTTCAGATAAACACAGTCCGTGGCTATTTCGGTTCTGGATTTTAGGGAGCAGCTGTAAGGCTATGGCAAGAGCCAAGGGAAGAGCTTTGGCCCAAATGACTGGTTCTCTGAGTGCTGGGAGGGAGAACGCTGGAGCATTAGCCCTCGGAGGGTAGGAGGGCAACATGGGGCTGTCCCACTGACAGAGGGCATGTGTCCCAGTTCTAGGAACCCTCTCTGCCAAGGTCTGACTCTCTAAAATACGTATACTTGGGGTTTGAAGTAAAAATTACTACTCTATGAAAAGATAGGATTTTATTGCGTTGGTGCCTGGTATTCTAAAATCAGAATATGAGGGACATATTCTGCCACCGAGCCTGATGATTAGGGTTCAGTCCCTGGGATCCACATGGTGGTAGGAAGGAACCAACTCCTGAAGGCTGTCCTCTGCCCTCCACATGTGTGCTATGGAATACACACAGAACAAATAAATGTAAAACAAACAAGCAAAGCTCATTTTTTTAAAAATTACAATATGGTTCCCTAAAGGTCCATCTACCCTGCTTTTTATCAAAACATATACCTATTACAGGAAGCCACATCCACATCTGTAACCGCTGTCCTTTCTCCCCAAATCATCCTCTGTGCTTTTGGGATCACTTTAGGAGACACTGAGTCCTTCCTGGCATGTGGATCTGTCCCTTGTCTAAGCTTCATCTGACAGGGACACAAATGTAACATATGACAGCTGTCAACACTGAACAAAAGCAGTTCAATGTCTATAAAGCAAGCTTAGGCAATTTCCCCCACTGGCTTCTTACAAATTAAACACCAAGGCTGGAGGTGTGGCTTAGCGGTAGATCACTTGCCCAGCGTGAACATGGCTCTAGAGCTGATCCCCTGCATGACACACAAAAACCAGTTAAACCCTACCACCAACATTCCTGTAGTCCCTCCAGCTCCAGCATATCCACAGAGGCAGAGGGAAAGCCAGAGTACAAAGCAAATCCCACCTTCTTCCTGAGGAAGCTGCCACTGCATGCAGCTGTGGGTCCCGTCATTGATCCAGTATGTAGTATGGACTGTCTGGGACCTAGGGGATGGATGGAGAATAACAGCGACAGAGACACAGTCTTCACCTTCAGAGTCCCTACGGTCCATGAAGGGGAGACACACACCAGGATCCTGCACGGGAGCTTGGAAGGAAGCGCCCACTAACCACAAAATTAGGCTTCTCAAAAATTCTAACCTCTTTCTGGGTCCTGAGAGAAAAGGACAGTGGGGAACAGAGGAAGTTGCTCGCAGAAAGGAAGGGACACACCCATGCAAAGCCCCAGGGGCTGGTGCATCCCAAGTGTGGGCTAGGTTTGCCCCTCCTTCCCTTTGCCAGGCACAAGGAGGAAGAGCTTCGTTAACCATGGCAGCCCCTTGACTCAGCAAACCCCATTCCCCCAGTCCTGCCAACGAACCACACCTGTTCTGCTACCCACTCCTTTTTTTTAAGACAATGGAAAACTCACTGGACAAACCAGGACACGGTGAGTGTGGGGTTCTTTCCTGGTAGGGCCACCAGCTTGGCCTGGCTGAAAATTGAAAAGCATGGGTTGGTTATTCAGTAGCCTGCATTTGTTCTCAAAGCTTTCTATATCACGATGAGATGCCTAAACAGAAGAGAAAGATCTAATTTCTTTCCCATCATACATTTTCTCAAGCATGAGGTGTTTGATTTTAAAGAGCAACCAAAGGCTTGAGAAGACTTAGTAAGGGAACTATAGGGAAGGCAATTCAGTGCCACTAAAAGCAGAGAAACTGTTGCAGCCAGAAAATACGACACAATATGTTTGGGATGAAGGAGTTTTGTCCTGCACAAAGTACTCAGTGAAATGCATCACTACAATACCACAATGGCTGCCTTCCATGCCAAAGAGGCAGTAGCTGGTTCTGCCGGGACACATGTTCAGCCAATGGTGTTTGGTGATTATTAGAAACTAAACACAGCCCAGGAGGTGGAGAAAAGAGCAGAAAAGGCAAAGGACCGGAACTACGCTTTTACAATCCGCCAGCGCTTACCTACTTGACTTGCTAGGGCATGGGAAAAGTGTATCTTAGTAAATGGGGCTGCTGCTACTCAGACATGAACCATGACGTTTGCTGGCTTATTGCAGCTTTTCTGCCTGTCTCTTCCTCCGAGCTGCTGAAAATGGAAACCCAACATTGCCATGCTGCCAGAGATGCAGATGTGGGCTGCCTGTTTGGTTTTAGATGCCATTACTCTCCTATAACCTTGACGATTGTGATATGTAAGATTCCCAGAAGGCACAGTCCTTAAGTGCCCAGTGCTTGAGAACTACGCCCACCGGCTCCAGGTTTGGCCTTGGGTCAGCGGAGTTGATGATCACATTCCCTTCAGTTAGTATGAATCATGCTGAGCCTGGTATGTGCTCTGTGCTCTATAAGGAAGAATTCTCTCCCATGTGAAAAATAATATATTCATATGTATGCATTGTTGTACTTGAATTGTGTGCACTGTTGTGTATTGATGCATATAAGCAACACCCAGACATCTACAAAGGCTTTGAAGCATTTAATTCCATTTAAATGGACTCCATACCCTTGGAATGTGCTATTTAAGTGTTCATGAAATTTTTTACACACCATTTTTACAGTCCATTTGTTTATGATGTGACATGGTAAATAATCGTGTTGGTTTTGTGTTCTTTTTGTTTCTCAAGAAAATAAATGTACATAATACTAAGCAAATGAATAAATTATTAAAATATGGACTTTATGATCATGCCCACTGTTGAAAATAAATTTATTTTATTTCTTTCATAATGTGACTGTTCCAATGATGAAAATTTATATGGCCCTTATACATATTGATGTCATGTATTTAAGCTTTGTTCAATATTGATGAGTATTCCCTAATAAAATATTTTAAACCTCTTTCTCTAAATACACAATGCCCTCATTACTCAGTTGTGACGTGCTATTAATATGGCTAGTGATAAATGGAGTGGATAATTGAGACAAGGAAAGCTGTTGTTTGGAGAATGGACATGCAATATGCAGGATGCCTGCATTCAAGACACATGCCATATGACTGGGTCATCAGGCTTAGGGGGAAGTAACCAGAGAAGAAAGTAATAGAAGTCAGACGTGGAGATATTAAATGTGTTCTAGGCCAATTGTATTGAGTGCCCAAAGCCAAGGTAAGATCAGAGCAGCCAGTGGTCTGAAAAGGGTGTGGGCAATTCAGTCCAAGGAGCACTTTCCAATAGAGACTAGTTTCTAACCACAAGGTCAGAATCTCAGAACCCCAGAGTTACACTTGAGCCCCATGCCCTCTAAAAGATTGCTCACTATGACCAAGTGAGCTTTAGTCCAGGGGTGCAGGGATGGATCAACATGTACAAGGATGGATCAACATGTACAAATCAGCACATGAGACTAGTAGATGCAAGAGCAGAAATCACATGATCGCCTCAACAGATGCGGAAAGGCCTTCAGCAAAGTCTAACACCCTTTCATGATAAAAGCCCCACAGGACTAGAACTGAAATAAGCAGACAGACAAAAAAAAAAATGAATGGAAGGGACATACCTCAACAAAATAAAGGCTTTCTATGCCAAACCTATAAACAACAGTATACTAAGTGGGAAAACACAAAACATCTCTACTAAAGCCAGGGCAAGAGCAGGGTGTCCATCTTCTCTACTCTCATATGTACAGGCTTTGAAGTCTTGGTTATAGAAATAAGAGAAAGAAATAAAAGGACCACAAATAGGAACTAAAGAAGCCAAATTACTATGATAGGCAGATGATAGTTCCCATACATAAGAAACCTAAAAATCCCACCAGAAAACTCTTGGACATGGTAAACACTGTCTATAAAATATTAGGATATAAAATCAGCATACAGAAACCAGCAGCTTTCCAATATGCTAACTGCAAATAATTCCACTCATAATAATATACAGAAAATAAAATATCCAGGGAAAGCCTTACTAATGAAGTAAAAGACCTCTATAATAGAAAATTTAAAATACTAGAGAAATTGAAGAACTCATTTTAAAAGACTTCCCATACCCAAGGATAGTAAGAATTAATATAGTGAAAATAACTACATTACCAAAAGCAATATACTGATTCAATGTAAACCCCCCCCCATCAAAATGCCAACATATCATATATGTGATATATATATCCTAAAACCCGTGTAAAAACACAAAAGACCCTGGTGTTATTTACTGGGCGTGAGTGAGAACAGACCACGAGATACAACAAAACTCACTTTTAAGAGTTTATTAGAGCTGGGCAGTGGTGGAGCACGCCTTTAATCCCAGCACTTGGGAGGCGGAGGCAGGCGGATCTCTGAGTTTGAGGCCAGCCTGGTCTACAAAGTGAGTTCCAGGAAAGGCGCAGAGAAACTACACAGAGAAACCCTGTCTTGGGGGAAAAAAAGAGTTTATTAGGAAGGTAGAGGGGGGCAAGTGGACAGGCCTGACGGAGAGAGAAATATGTGGACCGAGGCAGGGAATGGATGGAGTCTGCTTTTAAGGATCACCTCGAGCATCTGTATAGGGGCTTACATAGCCACGCCACACACATAGATTATGTGGCCATGCTGCACAGGGATTACATAGGACGGAAGGCCCCGGAGTGACCAAGCATTTTGCCTGAATGCTGATAGTGCATGTGCATCTGTGAGTCTGGAAGCAGCTAGGGTGTCGGGAATGATAACACCTGGAGTAACAATGCACTCCTGAGAAGAAAACAAAACCAGACCCACTTTCAGGGCATACTTTCAGAACCACGTTCACAGATGCAGCATGGTGTTGGTCAAAAGCAGACACATACATCAGCAAAATAGAGAACCCAGCACTGAACCGACCCAAGCACAGGCACCTGACCTTTAGAAGGATGCCAAAACAGACATTCAGTAAAAGACAGCCTCTTCAACTAGTTGTTCTTGGGCAACTGGCTGTCCACGTGTAGAGAAACAAACTAGATCACTATCTCTTATCCCACACAAAACAGATTCCAAATGTATCAAAGTCCTTAACTAAGACCTGGACCTCTCGAACTGTTAGAAGGAAACATTTCAACACATAGATGTAGGGAAGAGCTGTCTGAACAGGACTCCAGGAGCTCAAGAGTTAATGCCAATGCTTGACAAATGGGGTTGCATGAAGCTAAAAACTTCCCAGCAGGGGAACAGTTATTAAGCAAAGAGACAGAGTGCAGCATGGGAGAGCATCCTAATTAGCAGTATATTTAGTACAACATTAATGTCTAGTATATCAAGAACTCCAAGGGCTAAACACCAAGGAAAACAAAGCACCAATCAACAGACAAGCCAATGCACAGACCTCAAAAGATGAACTAACAAACTGTCAAGAAGCTAGGCGTGGTGGGTGCTGGAGAGATGGTTCAGCACTTAAAAGCCCTGTCTGGTCTTCTAGAGGACCTGAGTTCAGTTCCCAGCACCTACATGGCAGCTCCCAACTGTCTGTAACTCCAGTTCCAAGGGATCCAACTTCCTCCTTTGGCTTCTGTAGATACTACACACATGAGATGCACAGACATATGTGCAGGCAAAATATCCATACATATAAAATAAATAAATCTTTTTTTAAAACATATGAAAAAATTCAATATCCTCAGTAATTATGGAAATTCAAAGCTACACTGAGGTTCCGTCCTCCGTCAAGAAAACTATAAAGGCAGGTGCTGGCACAGATATGGGGAAAGAGGGACCCTTAGATACGGCTAATGGCAGTGTGAGTTAGGCAAGCCGTGATGGTCAACGTGCAGGTTCTTCACAAAGCTAAAGACAGAGAACTACCATTTGGCTCTGCCTCGCCACCTCTGGGTATGTACCTGAAGGATGCTTAGTCATCCTTTCCCAGAGATACTTGAGTCCCCTTGCTCACTGCAGCGCTCTTCCTAACAGCCAAGTCACGAGTCAGCCGAGGTATCCATCAACAATGAATGGATACAGGAAACACCATAGCCATACATATGTGCATACATATATGAGGAAGTTTTATTCAACCATGAAGAAAGGAATTGCGTTGTTTGCCAGGGCGTAAGTTTAACTTGAGATCATCATATCAGGCAAAATAAGCGGAACCTGGGAAAACAGATATCACAAGTTTTTCTCTCATTTGTAGATCCCAGATTTTGTAGAGATATATAAACCCATTTACATGTGCATGACATGAAAGCAGAGAGGCTGGGGTGTGGAGAAGAAACTGTCTGGACGGGGAGAAAGGGGAAGAAGGATATGGAGGTAAATATGGTCAAAATACATATTGTACTTGAAAGAATTCTTTATGAAGCCCAGCACCACATACAGTAAACACTCGCCAATAAAAAATGTAAAGAATGGCAAGTCTTTTCTGCATTCAATTCCTAAGAAATGCCTCTTGTGGGGTGTATGTTTTAGGTACTCCATAGCACCGGCTCCTTACTCCCACCTACACTGAATTTGTTAGTCTCTTTCAGACTCAAAAGGTTGAGTGATAATTCTGCCCCTTTCCATTTTGATGTTAGCCAAGGTATTTAATGACTCTATGAGCCAGCTTTCCCAGACAGAGACTGAACACTAAGTCATTCTGCTGACCAGTTATCATCAGTCTTGTTTATAAATGTCAATTGCTTCTAGCAGAATTTCCAGAAAAAGAATTAGTGTTGTGTAGATGGGAAAAAAACACTCTCTGTCCTCTCCTCGCTGTCATTCTGTTCTGATCCACTCACTCCTGATTTAAAACAGGATTTAGGTACATGGAAAGCTGATCACGTTGAGGTTGAGGTGAGTACTGGGGTCTGCAGACTACCACATGCCACCACTGTGCAGCTCCCTTCTGCAAGAATCCAGTGCAGAAGGCCACGAGTCAAGGAAGTGACACTCAGTTTGCAGTAATCCCCAGGAGAGGTCCCGCATCCTGGGTGTCCTTACTGAGCCCTTCTGACTCCTTCAGGCTTTCCACACCTGGCTTGTTTGAATCTAAAATGCCCAGTGTTAAAGTACGCTGGAGGCTCCATCTTGAGATCCTTCCAAAATCCCCACATAGAAATCTAATTTCCAGTGTGAATGTATTTGAGGATGAGGCCTTTGGAAAGTCATTAAGTAAGGAGGAAAGAACCCTCTCGTACAGGACTGGTAGTCTCCCCACATCCCAAGTATTAGGCAAAGTGAAGGTAACGAGGGAAGATCAAAGAGAGATGTTGAGAGGGCATAGAAGGGTGTGTAAACACAATCAAAGCATGGTATGTGTGCGTGTGGAAATGTCCCAGTGAAGTTTATTAACTTGTACAAGATTACCTTGATTGTCAGCTTGATAAGATCCAGAATCGCCATAAACACAAACTTCTGGCCATGTCTGTGTCAATATTGGTTGGGTTAATTGAGATGGGGAGTTCTACACTAAATGTGGGTGGTACCATTCCATGGGCTGGGGTTCATCTCTCTCCACTCCCTGACTGAGGATGCGATGTGACCAGCTGCCTCCTGCCCCTGCCACCACGTCCTCACAGTGGGGGACTGTGCTCTTGAGCTGTGAGACAGAATAAACCTCCCCTTCCATATGTTGCATGCATCAGGTACTTGGTCCCAGCAACATGTAAAATAGCTAATACAACTAGTGTATCTTAACAACTATAGTAAATAATAAAATGGCAAGACTTCCCCCCCCCCCGAAAAAAAAGACCTCAGAAAATTACCTCACCCCTTCTGCCTTATGAAATTACACACAGAAGAGCATCTACAAACCAGAGAACAGGCCTCTGACACTGTGCTCCTGGGTACCTTGGCCTCCACAAATTCCTGTTGAGTACCTTCTTCCTTGATAGAGGGGATGAGAACGCTGGCTGGTCCAAGGGTTTAAGGAAGGTCAGGGCCCTAAGGTCCTTCCTCTCTGTGTACAAAGGTATAAATACATAGAGAGAAGAGG